TTAATCTGCTGCATAAGTGTTGAAAAGCAAGAGGTTACTTTGAGAACTAAGGTTTGCCCAACCCAAGCCATGGTATTTTCACTTGCCCCATATGCATGCGACAGTTGGACACTGAATAAGGAAGACCGAAGAAGGATGGATGCATTTGAATGATGGTGCTGGTGGAGAATAGTGAAAGGTTCATGGAACACACACATCTGTTTGTTCTTTTGCCAAAAGAACAAACACATCTGCAAGGGAGAAGCATCACCAGAATGCTTGTTAGAGGCAAGGATAGTGTGTTAGACAGGGTTCTCTAGGGAAGCAAACCCAGGACACTTATGATTTCATACAGAGAGATATAGATTTATTTAGCACAAATAGCTGAAATAAACAGCTAATTAGTCCACAGAGCAGTACAGAGGGCACAGTTCAACTCAACTATCTGGAGTCAGATAGTTAGTATACTGGCAGTCCTTCAACTCACTAGGGCTGTTGGGTGCAAGTCAAGGAAGCAGACAGCTGAGTGTTCTGTAAAGCAATATGGGCAGTCTGGCCACAGGCAGCAAACAGGAGGGTAGGTCACCTCCAGTTGACAGATGACAGGGTCTGACAGGCCCCAACTCAAGTGATGTACACACCAGCAGTGTGGCAAAGCAGGTCTCAAAGGAACCTCAAACTAGAGCAACACAGTCCACAGGGTGGGTGTCTCCCAGGGAGCATAGCTGGCAAGTTGAGGCAGAGAAATGTGTAAGGCAACCACACACTGTTCTAATCATTAGAGAGCAAGAGACGGACAGGGGAGGCTCACCGAGCCATTTATCTCTTTGCCCTTCAATTAAACTTCAACCATATTAATCCCACATGTGTCTATTGGCCAGGTGGGCACAATAAACCTACCTATCACACACAGTGATACTTCATTTCACATACTTGGACACGTTGTCAGGAGAGACCTGTCCCTGGAGAAGGACATCAAAGTAGAGGGCAGTGATAGAGGAAGGCTGCCACAAGATGGATCGACACAGTGACTGCGACAATGGGCCCAAATGTAAGAGCCATTGTGAGGGTGGTGCAGGACTGGGCAGTGTTCCCTTGTGCTGTACACTGGCTCACTGACTTAGAATTGACTCGGTGGCACCCAACAACATCAATACCAAATTCTGAACAAACCTCAAGCGAACACCTTTCTTAATCACTGCAGCTTTGCACCACGTTTACAGGAATACTGCCCCATATAAACAATAGCATTTTGATGGACCAAGCATTTTTAAGAATGTTGAAAAACCCTCAAAGTTGAACCAAGAGAGAGAAGGTTGCCATTCTCAATGACTGTAGAAACTGTGGCTGCAGTCTAGAAACTGGTGGAAGAAAACTCTAGATTCACCATCGATTCCATAACTATTGAAGACGGCATCACTCGTGGTTTGGCAGCTTCAGTTCTAATTGAACATCCTGATTTTGCCAAATTTTCACCTTAGTGGATGCCAAAAGTGGCTCAGAAAGATCAGTTTGCTCAACGAGATGATCTTTTTCTCGGTCTTTTTAGGAACATCTAAGCTAGTGAAGATGATGTTAAGAACAACTTCTGACTGGTGACATATTTGGGGTTTGCTAATAGGACCAGAGAGCAAGGTTCACTGAAAACTGGCTTCTGAGCTGATCCGCAGGGGCAGCTAAGTTCCAGGCAGAGAGGTCTGAAACCTTAGGTCAGCCCCTAAGGTTATGGTAATTGTTTGGAATTCCAAAGGGGCTTCTTGATAGATTTTCTCAAAATGATCATGGAGACTTAAAAGAAGTTTTAAACAAATTGAAAACTGCACTGGTGAGAAAACAGCCAGGAATAACCTGCTAAGCAATTTTTTCCCATTAAAAAAATACCCGTGCTTA